CATGCTAGGAATTTGATTTTAAATTATCAATCTATGATTCCCTTGGGTTTGATCACCTGTAAAGGTCACTATTTGAAAAATTAAATACCGATATTTGACAATTTTGAAAGGCCTCAAAATAAGACTTAACGATAAAACTATATCTTCAATCAGTTTGCGTACATGAAATTACACAATTGGTTGAATTATTTTCATTTCATAAAGTGTGTCAAGGATGGATAAGTATAAAGTTGGTAAACTGGAAAAGTAACAGAATAAATTAATAAATTTTGGCAACCTCAAATGATATTTACGATGATTATTTTCTATTTGCTCAATGATTATTTTTTACTTCTTCAGTGATGATACCTTCCCATCAACGAAGGAGCAGTTAGAAAAAGATCGAACTTAAGATCGACCTTATCCTATGGAAGTATATGGTTGGAAATATTTGAGTATTAGAGTAAATGATCGTTTTTAGTGGTTTCTTCGTCAGACTATACAGTTATAAACCCAAAACTACGACTATCATGTTGCAATATTTGCATGATTTGTTAATGGTGTGAGATGTAAACAGGATTAATATGTGAATATTTAAATAGATGTTCATGTTGGAAGGGTTACTAGGTATTCCTTTCTACTAACCGTGGCGGGGTTTAGCAATAAATGAAGAGCTTCAGATACTCACTGTTTATAATTGGATAAACCATTTAAATTATTTTGATATCAGATACATATCGATTTGACGTTCGTTAGAAATAGCATGTAGTACTATTGATTTGTAAATCTTCTATTCCTGCATGATTATTTAGCCTTTTAATGTATGTGAGATATTCTTTGGAGTGGGTTGAGATTTCACGAGAAGACTGTCTAACATGGAATGCATCATAGTCAACATATCCCAATCTGTAGACGCAGTACTGAATTGTGACAGAGATCTTTTACGTAAACTATAAGGTTTCGAAGTGTTCGTTGTTTTATAGAATGTCATAATTCTGCATGATTTAGGATTTCATCGCAATTCTTCCGTTGTGCCGTGACAGCAAAACTTAATGATATACCTAATGACCAATGTATTCAAACTGTCAACTGAGATCTTGGTAAGGGTACATGTGCACAACCCGTTCAAGTAATTGAAACTAGAGATTCTAGATAGCACCAATCACATTATCAACTAATTGATGAACAAGGATAAGCTATTTGACTGTTGTAACTAAATGTGGGTTATTCTTTTAGTAAGCGAGGAACAGAAATGTTTGTACCAACACGTTGCACACCACATGTTTTACAACCAGACATTAGCTGTTACAACACACACTAACCGTAGATTGATGAGTAACAATACCAGTTATTGAGATTCGGATAACTTATAAAGGATGTGCATGCTCTATGTTGACATATACTGATTATCAGATTGCAGTCTGTATATCGCAATATAGGAAGATGATGTTGACATACACTTTAATGCAACACGCTCAGACTGGTGAACAGAAATGATGGAATTAACGAGCTAAAATTACGTATGGTTTGGAACAGTCGATGGTGGTACAGTCCTCTCCGTCTGTATTGCCAATTTCTACTCTTAATTTATGGAGGATATTCACAATATCTGGGCCCATTCAACGACTTTAACCTCAAGACGATACATCGGATTGGTCGGGTAGTCCGCCAATAGCAAACGAATCGGTCGTGTAAGGTGATCTAGACCAATCCATTTCTATTCTGTATACAAATAGAAAATCTACAAATCCCACTTAATACTACCATTTATTCTCTTCGTGTTTTTATTATTGACTTAAAATATAAAGTATGCAAAAATGAATAGTTGCGCTTAAACTACGCAGAAATAGAGGACAATTAGGATACCTAGTTTATCTACCAAGTACGTATTCAACAATTTAAAACAGCTAGAATGATATAACAACCGATGTCAGAAGCAAACATTGAGGACAACGGTTTGCAGTCTTTATACTTGAATACGTAAGTACGAATTTGAAAAATTGGACAAAGCCCATTATAGTTGTAGAAATAAACCCCTTTTATCAATTTACCATACAAGAGGTAGTCTCAAACTGGAAGTAGAAAAAGGTTTAATTTAGAACTGGGATTTCGAAAAACAAATCTCCGTACGGGTGTAAACTACGAGCAGTGAATTCTTAAGAACTGTGAAATAGCTTGTGTGTATAAGTTATGCATTCATCGAATGAATGGATTTGTAGAAAGCTATAAAAGTACCTTTGGTCTATCGATCGCACTTGTAATAAACTAGGAGAATATCCTCGACCGTTCAATAGTAGTTTATTCGCTCCAGAACGAATTAAATTCGATTGACGATCTGAGTCAAGTAAGTACAGACTTGAAGTATCATTGAACATTGGAAACTACTATAGTGACTAGAAAAAAATACTAAGTCTAGACATACAGGTTTAGCGATAAACTGTTAAGTATGTAAAGATCTAATAAATACAAAGAATATGTGCTCTTGGTCAGATAACAACCCTATATTATATTGGTTCAATAAGTTAACAGGAATCGATTTTAATTGCCCATTAAGTCTTAGTCTTGATTTTGGTTGGTCTAAAGTACACCTAATAGACTGTCTAAAAACAGAAACCCGATTCTAATCTTCTAGTGACACCATAGTAACAGGTCTCAGCGAATGGTTGTCAAATTATTCGTTTGGAGATGGTAAAGAATACTTGTAACTCGGGATGATGTTTTGGTCTCTCAAGTTTAGAGAACAGAATACCCCCCGAAAAACTGAATTCAATGTTGTTACGACCATTCGTTTAAATAGAACAGAATAAAAGTGAATCGGGTGGAAATATACGACCACCATACCCCTTAAAATACACTAGTCCAATAGTGTTCCTGAGAAAAAACGATATACCATTAACTAGAAAGATTCCCAACCCAAAAATGAGAAAAATTGACAATGTTAGGAAGAACACTTAATATTTTAAATGAACTTGTGCAATAACGAAGTTGCGAAATGTACATGTACATTGCCATATAAAAAAACTAAACTTACTTTGCTGGTGGTTGTACTGAAACCAACCATAACAAAATGGAAATAGAATGCACATTACAGTATGAAGAGACAGAATTAAGTAATAGCGAAGAAATAATATTGACTTCTCACATATCGACTATTTACGGAAATGGATTTGAAATCAAGTTACGTAGCAATAAAGTTTGGAAATTTTACGTGAGGAAAAACGCATGATCAAGTTAAACACAAACCCTACACACGGTGGGTGTGTAGACACCAAGATAAATCCTTAGAAAAACATTTTTGAGACTTACAATTGAAATGATAACAATAGTTGTTGTATGAAAGCACTTTATATATATAAATAATCACAAATTCAGTGAAACTTGAAACGAAAAAAAAATGTATTTATACTGCAACCTATTTTATACTGACAACCCAGTAAGATATCACCTTAACAATTTGAAACAGGGATTTCAAAACACTCCGATTGTGTATAATCATTTATATCAGAGTAGACTACCGTTAAATTCAAAAAGCGATTTACTTTAGGATAAAATATAACGCTTAACAAATGACAATAACAACAAAAAATACATACAAGTATACAGAAAACAACAAGAAAAATTTACAACTGTTTCTGTACAGATAGAAGGGAAAAGAAAAATAATTAGTTATTTGCTTCTAGTACAAAACGAATTATTATGAAGTATTTTGAAAACATATATTATGTATTAAACTATGTGGGTAACTGCTGCTATATAAATTTAGAAATAAGACAAGTTATGAATACATGTTGCTAAAATTTTTATATATATATCATATTATTAAATTTTTCTGCTACCACTTCCTTATCCATATACATATATGAATGAACGAACTGTACGTGTGCGTTCCCGTTTATAGATACGTAAAAATCCCAACCTTCTATTAATAGCAATTTTTAACAAAACAAGCAATGTAGGAATATACTCCAACAAAAGATAAAGGATTCTTAGGACAAAATAATGGTCATTTGAAAAAATACTAATATACTGATTTAAAATATTACGCATAAATGAAGGATTCTTAGAAGCAAGCAGAAGACGAAAGCTTAGATCTATATATGAGTTATCGTAACTAATACATAACTACAACTATTAAATTGCTAATTTAATAAGCATCTTGAATTTGTTGCAAAACAACATTAAGTGAGACGTATGTACATGTACAATAGATCAATTATTAACGCAGTAGTATGAAAGGGAAAACATAAGACAGGAGAAACAAGGATCAGACAGTATGAATCACAGACAAAAATGAAAAGACATAGAAAAATAAACAAAAACAGGGGATTGATTTACATGTGTATATCTGTGCATTCATATACGATTGTGTATTTGTGCGTGTGGACTATCAAACACACAGAAGAATGTTCAAGTAACAGCAAAACAAATATACTAAAATGAGCGCGATAAAGCACAAATATCAGACAAGAGGATTGAAGGAGTGCAATACAAGATACATGATGTTACTTGCGCTTCACAGCACTAATGTCATAAACGAAGTTAATAATTGCAGTGAACTAAGGAAAATTCACCAATCTGTAAATGATCAGTTTAAGAAAGAAATATTAAATCTATCTAGAAGTATCAGTAATGAAATATATTTATTGGCTCCTGGGTTTAGCACAATCCTAGGTCTGTCAAGAAAGTTATGATAAAGCTCATGATTACTAGTTTTAGTATCACTAGTTCTACTTACAATAATGATAAAATACCAAGAACGCGTTATTATCACAATGCCATCATGAGATAAAGAAAGACTATACACTGTCAAACAAACGATGTGATTGAGCGGCGCTCAACAGTCCAAGAGACTCTGACGCGAATAATAATAACAATAGGATAAAATTGATTCTTCCATCCCTAATACGGCTGCCAAACATTAAAAAACTTAATTCTTAAAAGTAAGTTGAGAACGACTAGAAATGGGATTGAAGGGAATGAAACTGAGTTGAAGAGTATATATATACTTGGTCTATAATATGCTAGCTACGAATTTGTTGTTGCTGCTGTGACTCTGTTCGACGACGGCAATCGCGATTATGCTGAGCTGTCCAGTGTTCAAACTGACATGTTTCAGAACAGTATGCCGTCCCGGGACAACAGTGGTAGAAGGCCTCATTTAAACACACTTGACACCATGTTCGTTGTTTAACTCGTTTAATCTCAGCTTCATGTGCACGACGAAGTTCAGAGATTAAAATGTCACGTCGATGAACTTCCTCCCGAGCTTGATCTCTCTCAGTTGTCAAGGCAATAAGTCGATCAGCATATATCCGATGAATTCGTTCCTACAAACAATGAGATAGAAATATTTATGGATTTAAAAAGTTTACAGTGTTAAAATAAATATACAGCTAAAAGATGTGCATATGTATATACATGTTTAATATTTTAGAAATCTTCACGTTACCAATAAAAAAATTTTTAATAAAGGATATCATAAAAAGTAAATAAAGTAATATAAAAACTGACTTTTTATCAAGGATTCGAATCTAACCAAAACTAGTGTAAGATGTCGTAGGATTAAAGTCAGGAAAGTATAACAGAATTAAGTGTCCATAATAAGATATCTGTTTACTACTTTACTGATTTATTTACCTTACTGAAGTTTAATGCACTAGGTCCTATGTTATAAGAAAACATTCCCTGTCTGTCCATCGAATTTCACAAATAAAACAGACTGAAAAAGAACGTTGGAGTTTTGGAAAAACACCCTTGACAATTCGCAAGCCGTGTTAATCAAACAGAAACAGAAATTAATGTTTGAGTTCAACTAGATATACTATTAAACTAATAAATAAACTAATTAACAATCTTCGGAGAGATATGTCTACGTTCACGAAAGCGAAATTGGATCAAAATGCTTGTTTAACTTGGGATTTAATGGAAACTTTGACAGATAGTTAAGAGATTTCGTGGGTTACATCAACTTGAATAGCAAAAACTAGGAAGATGCAACCAAGTCATTTTATTAACATTGTTTACTTCCCAATCGAGCTTGATGAATCTGGAAAAGAATAACATTGTCTAAGTTCCTTAAACTTAAGTCTCTTGACTTTTCGGTGTCATAAGAGCACTACATACATAATAAAAGGGTTAAAATGAAATGATATTTTAGTAAGCCTTGCATTAAAATGAAGACGGAGTTTCTAATGTTTAGTGTGTAAGTGATATCGTTTTGGTGTTCTAACTATTCAAGAGCACGGTACATGAGACAAGACAGTTGCCGTTTAGATTAATAATCTGAAAATGATTCATTATGTGAGTACATTAGGTAGCACAACACTTGATGTCGTATAAGAGGATTACAAGACAAGCAATGTAAAATGATAGTTTCAGTAACAAGAGAATCAAAGGAATTAGTAGGCGATAAATATAACACTTCTTATAAGATTAAATATTCATCAAAAGAATAGGTAATATAGTTGTATATTTCAAAATTAAGACCCACCTCAGCTTTTATCATATTGCTATCAGACTGCAAATGAGCAACTAGTCCACTGCCATTGCCTGACGAGCAAGAAAAAGGTGCATTCCCTAGCATGGTTGCTACTTCACCAGGTGATGCGTCTACTGATTTCGGATCACTTAAACTAGAACCTAAACCAGACGTAGACGAAAGAGCAGCTGGTGACACTGAAGAGTAACATGAAGAAGATGCTGAAGAGTTCGAAGGAGGAGTTGGACCTGTGGAGACATTTGCTCCAGTTGGATGAGTAAGCAGAGGCGCTGCAGATGGCTGGTCATTAAATGTAGACAATATTTTCGTCCCACCAGACCAGCCAGAAAGATGAACGGTTTTAGAATTGAGTTTGGTATTAGGACTATCAAAAGCGAAATTTTTGACGGATGAGCTGGGTACCGAAGAACCCAAGGATTTATTGTCAACAGAATTACTACCATCGCCAGGGATGCGCAGAATCCCGGTTAGCTAAAAAAAGAAATGAATAAACAGTTTAGCTGCAAAAACATTGATTTACATACCATATGAACACTATTGTTACTTCGACCTATAACTTTATTTCTTACTAGCCAAACTTCCAAAGACTGACATTTTCCTCATCTCTAAAGAAGCATGCAAGTAACGTACATATAGGTTTAGTTAGCTTGACTAAGGATGGAAAAAAGTTCCAGCGTTTGTATTTATTAGATTTACCAATCAGATAACAAAACCGATAGCTACGAAATAAACTGTTTAGAAATGATTGAATGACATTCAGATCAGAAACGTGAACATCGAGACTTCATACATATACAGGTATTTTACAGTTTAATGAAAGGCTACGATAGTAATAAGGTAGTTAAAACTAGATGGAACTTCCTAAAAATAAAAATGGAATAATAAATGTGATTATCATTTTCTGACATATATGTTGTACAAATCCTTGGGAAGTCCATTCCTTTTCAACTTTGCCATCGATGATGCTCTGGAAACAGCTCTGATGGATGTAAGTAATGACGGCGTGGATCTGTTGCCTGGAGAAAAACTTCTCGACCTTGAGTATGCAGATGATATTGTCTTACTGTGCGAGAATGCCCAAGCCATGCAATCCGCACTTAATCAGTTGGCAATCAATGTCCGTAGGTATGGTATTTGCTTTGCACCTTCGAAGTGCAAAGTACTTCTACAAGACTGGCAGGATTCTAATCCTGTGCTCACCCTGGATGGTGAGCAGATTGAAGTAGTCGAGAAGATCGTGTATCTGGGTAGGTGCATAAGTTCAGGCGGTTGCATGAGTAATGAGATCAATGCACGTATAGTGAAAGCCAGAGCGGCCTATGCCAATCTGGGCCATCTTTGACGCCTTCGTGATGTTAGTCTGGCTATAAAAGGTCGGATCTACAACGCGTCGGTGAGAGCAGTTTTGCTCTATGCTTGTGAAACCTGACTTCTCCGAGTTGAGGATGTTAGACGACTCTTTGTGTTCGATCATCGTTGTCTCCGAAGGATTGCTAACATCCAGTGGCAACACTATGTTAGTAATGCAGAAGTTCGGCATCGTGTGTTTGGGCGCAGAGACGATAATGCAATTGGTGTCACCATATTGAAACACCGATTTCGGTGGCTTGGACATGTTCTACGAATGTCGTCCCAGAGAATTCCACGTCGTGCATTATTTGCCGACTCTGGGACTGGTTGGAAAAAGCGGAGAGGTGGTCAGTATATGACATGGTGTCGTGGTATGAAAGAAAGCTGCAAAGGGCTGGCTTCTGTTGGTCCTTCACGACTCCCTGGTTGGAGTCCGAGAGACGGTGTAACGCAGTGGCTAGAGACGTTATCAGATATGGCTTAGAATAGAAGCCAGTGGCGATCGTGCTGTAACCTCTTACTTTCTTCATAAAAAGTGGTTGTATCTTCCTTAACTGAAAGATTTCTTATGATTGTACCTTTCCGTTTCCCCCACCATTGTTCTGTCTCTCTCCCTTTTTTTATAATTCCCCACGTTCATTACTTTTTTTTTCTCTTTTCTCCTTCTCTTCAAATTATCATTGTTTTGTGTGGCGCATATATATTTGGTGCCCCCCTTGTACCAATATTTATGTGTTCAAATAAATAAATAAATAATAAAAACATGGAACTCCTTAGAAATCAACAGCAATATGTGTTGGCTAACCAAACGTAAGTAGTTTGAAACGAATCGAACATTCTTCTTTGGGCATATTTTAAACAAAGCTACACTTTCGACGAACCAACTGCAACTGATTAGGTAGTCTATGTGGAGATCTTTGACAAGTTTCAAAGTCACAATATACATTCAAATCAGAATGTAAACGTTTACAATTGAAACTTGGAGGAAAATATTTCTTTAGAAGCAATTATTATTAAACTTTTTAATTGGTAGTCTTGGTGAATCCTTTTTGGTCATATTGAATGATACAATGGCTGTGAGCGAATAACCGTTATCTAAAGTTAGAAATTCAGCAAAAGAGAGCGACCTTCAATAACTAGATCACAACACAGGCACGTACTGACTTGCTAAACAATCTCACAGTTAATTAGCACTAGTGTTTGTACAGACTGAGTAGTGTTTTATGGATATAACCATGTAAACCATCCGACAAATCCTATAAATGCTAAGACATTATTATTATTGGTTAGATCAAAAAAGGAGTATATTGCAAAAGAGAACCAGTTTGGATCAACTTACCTTTTCAGGTTTTAGACTCTTTTCCGGAGAAACCATACAGAATCCGACGTCTTCATCCTGATAGTCATTATTCAAATCCGTATTTTTTAAAGTAGTAATAGCAGTAGATCGCGAAGACGGTCGGAAATGTCCTTTCATTTCCAAGTTATGGCGAGACGACTTAATTGGTTTAGTTAATTTGGGAACGTGTTGACTACCATCAGCTTCTTTTGCCCCTTCCTTATTATCACGTGTTTTGAGAGTTAACTGACTTTGGAAAGGTGTTAAGATGTCTTTTGACTTTTGCTTGACTCGAGCGGTCGACGGTTCGTCATTTATCTTTGGTTTTAGTGTAGAGAAAGATAACCGTAGAGCAGGAGATGAAAGTGTGGATGTTGAAGACAACGAGGAAGAAGACAACTGAGATGATGACACAGTGGAGGATGAAGAAGAAAGAGAAGACAAATCCGACTCTGCATCAGATAAGGATGAAGGCGGTGATAAAGAACACACTGGATGTTGTTTATCTTCATCTGCAACGGTTAGCCTATCTGAACGGATAGGAGAACTTATCGGTATTGTAAGAAGACTATGCTTGTTATTAACTGGGGGTTCATAGGTATTTCTTGTAGATAATAGTAACGGGGTGGAAGAACAATCATCAGAATTTTCGGTAGCGGATTTGGCGCTCGCTGAAGGCAAAGAGGACTTGGTAGATTTATGAGTCTTAGGCGGACGCCCACGTGACTTCTTGGAAAAATCAGAATATGTTGAAGAGGCCGAAAAAGCTGATGAATCAGGAGGGGTATGACCACCAGAAGAGGCAAGGGCAGGGACAGTTGTACGATCCGATGAAGGACCAGATGCGGCAGAGGATGAGGAGGACATGCTATGTACAGGTTCTGTACGCACGACATGACTGTCAACACAGGTCAATCGAGGGAGAGACTGACTGGTTTCTTTCACAGAAAGAGGAATGTCGTTGTTTTCACTTCTAAAAGGCAACGGCTTAATGCGTATAGTCCGTTGTGTTTTAGCCGCAAAAGACGCTGTTGAAAGCTCGGATGAACTGGAGTCACAGCTCGGAGGGACAGCTGATATGCCGTTGGAGAAACTAGGTCTTGAGTGTGCTTCATTGCACCGCTTTCTTTTATGTGATTTTCTTTTTGTTGGAGTAGGCAGAAGAGGTATCGATAATTTCATAGACGATTTATTTACACTTGGATTCTCAAGAGTAGGCTCTGAAATGCGGCACTTGGTTTCCGGACCATCACTGTCACTGTTCAATGACGATAAGGAAGTTAAGTTATCTAGAAAAATGAAGTAAAAAATCAGACCACTATTATTATCCTGATCAAATTTATGAATAATTTCAACAAACGAATAAAGTAAGTTAATAATTCAGCATTTAATTATACGATTGACTAATATTTTTGTATTACTATGAGGCATACTGTTAATAAAGTTAGTGATAAGAATGTTTAAGCAAATGTATATAAACAGTTTACACCGTTTATGACGATGAACTGCAAAAACATTTTATTCTGGGAACTCGAATGAAAGCAGATAAAACCCCTCATCTCAAAACAAATCATCGTGAAATAACTCCGCGTTTAAAAGTGGAGTTGACAACTTATACAATAGCTTATAAATTAAATGCTCTTGTAGGAGTATTACAGTGTACATGAACTGTACTTACGATAAAAAACCACTTATTTTTATTAGATAAGATAGGCTGCATAAAGAAATATAACCTTTGTCAATCGTGTATTGGTCCAAGTTGTCACCCTACACCAAACAAAGATCAACAAAACCAAGAAAACGGATATAGTTATAACAACAGTTGTGAATAACTACCAGGAAGAAAGCAAAAAAAGGATAAAAAAAATAGACGAATTAGTAATATGAAGGGTATAGAATTAATGGGTCCTTATCATAGCCCTTCTTCCATAAAGCAACTAGAAATCAAATAAAGGTCACTAACAGGACAACAAGAAAATAGAAAAACCAATGAGCTACTGTTGGATCGATACATTCCTGCCTACTTGTTTATTAGGCTTCAGAAACAATTTACTCGGACCTGAACCGAAATTTTTTATGAACACGTACTATTTAGGAAAACCAAGAGGTAACCAATTGTTTTACAATCAAACCAGACAAGAGACTTGTCTATCTGGTTTCACTAACCAATCAATACCAATGTCTAAGAACACAAGATCACAGCGATATTAGGACATGTGCACAACGGTTATTAGAAGACAAGATTATGAAAGTGGAGGTAATTTAATTTAAACATGACAAACAAGAGAAGCAATGAGTCATCTATTATAGAAATAAACATCTTGAAAGCCGTTATTGAGTTTTATTAGAACTGTACCTTAGATGTCTAACCTTTCTATTGCCATTAATACTACTACAACCGCCACTGCTGTGGGATTTGACTTAATAATTTTGTCTCTCTATGCTAATGGGATATGTCAACCCGAACCGGTGTACACATGTGTCAGGTCCTACGTTACGTGACTGATCAACTGAGTTTTGTCAATGTCCTCCTGAAACCAGTGACTAATAAAGATTGGATAGAAAGGACGAAGTGTGCTCAATTTGGGTACGATGACTATGGATACCAGCTGAAAATGAAAATTTATTTGCACTGACTATTTGAGTTAGTTAAAACGGACAATGAGACAGACAACTCGTACTTAATTTTAGACTGAGACCTATAACAGCAAAACATGACCCCATACGCAACAACCGAGAACCTAAAATTGGTGAATTCGATTTTCAAAAACTTATTAATAGAAATACAAATTTTGGTACATCCCATGAAACCACAAGTGGTAATAAAATTCAGCAAAATGCATAACCAGTTTCCTAAAGGGACTAACCATGTGTAAAACAGTCACTTAAAATTGTATTCTGAAAGAAATCATATTTTCAATTTTCCGACACTCATTATTATATGCTAGAGAATGGTCTAAAAGCCACGACCAATGAAAGTAATTTGATTTCATCATATACAAGTGAGGCTTAGACAGTGCTTGATAAAATCTTATAAAAAGTTAGAGACAAATATGAAGGATGTATTAGCTGCATAGACAACAATAGTTTGTGAAAACTACCAGTAGACCTGATGAACGTTTGACGTACTATGCATCTAGAAATTTTCTATGATTGATAAATAATTTTTTGATGAACTGGCAGAAAAAGCTGTTAAAACTTGGTATTTTCTTACAGGGAAATTTGAATACGCTAGATTCTACTTAATTTTTATCGACTATGGAAAGAGACCAATAGCAACTGCTTGAGCTTTAAGGTAAATGTAATTAAGAAAGTTTTAAGTGCGAAATCTCTTAAACTTCTGAACAAAGACAATTTAAAAGTGCGACAACTATTTAGTGCTCTCGACTGGCGTTAAAATAATGCACGGGGGTATACATATTACGAGTAATCTTTGTGACTACTCTTACCTTCAGTAACGTTCTTCATAGTATCTGACCAATGTGAGTCACGTCGAGACGTAGAATGCTGTGACACAGAACACCACACAGGTGAATTCGCTCCAGTGGATTTACGAGATTTGAAAACATGCATTTCAGGCGATACGTTGAAGTCTTCATTGTGAGATCTAGTAGATAGTGGACGCCTACCAGGTCTTTTCTTTCGCAAAGGTGGAGAAGTAGCATTTTTCATGAATGTTCCATTAGATATAGACTCACTGATTAGATTATTTCTTATCGAATCTATCGAGATAGGTTCAGCAAGCATCTTGTTTGGCAAATGATCAGAATAATTCTTCATTTGCTGATCAAAAATAGCTTGGTTTGTTTTGTACTCCTCAGCTTCATTCAGTGCTTTTTTCAAAGGTGGTGTTTCTCGTAAACCAAGTTCATCTGCTGTGAAATTCATATCAAATGCTCTCGCTAGTGGAACAAAAACTCTCTCATGTCGTCCACCAAAGCAAACAACTTCGTAGCCCTCTGTACTCTCATATAACATTTTACAAGGGCGAAAGGACCACCCATTGTGTTGGAACCAAAGGAGACGATGAGCAACTCGACAAGGTGCTGTTAATTTATTTACTGATGCTGAGTGAAGACGCAAGTAACAATCTATGCAAAAAGATGATTCTCGCAATTCTCGTTCTAGCTGAGATCGTATCTGTCGAGCCATATTACTCATATCATTTTTAGAACCGTAAAAAATGGCGGTGTTGTGAATTAGTAAATCCACATCAATCAGAAGGGAGGTTCGATTAGGATAACAATCTTTAGATGATGGATCTGCTCGCATACGTTCGGTTATAAGACGAGTATTAATCTGCCGTAATACGAGGTAGTTATTTCGTAAAGGTTCGTTTAAGTAACCAACAACCTGCATAGTTTTCCAATTGACTTTGTTGCGGATTCGATCAAGGACAACCTGGAAGATTTTATGTAACTCCGATGGGGTGCTAGGATTTGACATATTAGATGCTCGCGACAACCGCTGACACACAGGACATGGGTTAGTCGGTGGGAATCCATTGGACATATGTGAATCGGCTTCGGATCTACCAGATTCACACGGTATAACAGAGGACAGTTGTGATGATAGGGCAACTGGCAAGCAATCAGGGTGGTATACTCTGAAACAAGTTGGACAAGATACAACATGACCTGGTCCGTGACATTCAAAGCAATACCTGAATTGGGAGAAAAACAGAAAGTGTTAGTTGACTAAGAACTGGACAGTATATTTGAAAGAAAATAAGTTTTTGTGGCGAGATGAAGATATGTTCTCTCTTTAACGAGGCCCAAGATCTACCACTAATTTTCCGAACAATCAGTAAGGTCTGAACCAGAATTAGGGATTGCAGAAACCGAAACACTTAAGATACGTCATAAATGTGCATAGTTCTTTAACGTCAAACTTATCATCAAGATAGCTGGTAGAAATTAACTTGAAGACAAAGAAATAAACAACAAAGAAGCAGTAAACCAGAAATAATACTTTTGAGATGTCGACAAATGAATTCCGGGTAGCAGTATGAAATGCCTATATATATCAGCGCTTTTCCTAGTATTTTGACAAAAATGAGGAAATAGATACGTTAAATAGTGAACACTAAGTTCAGGAATAAAGCTGTTTGCATAGATCTAGTTTCATGTGGTCGACAGCCACCCAATTTTACTATTTTAGAGACACATAACAGATCCTAAAAATGTAGCTGGCAATTGGTGCTGGTTCAAGTTGGTCACAACAATCGACGGAATTACTGTTTGTGAACAGAAATAGCTAGACGGTATCTTGTGCGTCCCTAATCGTTATGTTCTGTAGAACTAGTTTTGTAACTAAAATACTAATGGACTTAATAAGATTAAATTAGTACATGGTAAAGAATCGTGGAGCACGTGACTTTATACTGAGTCATGAATACTACATTGCCGAGAGATGGTTGGAAAATAATCAATATCACTGAGATGGTGGTTTGATGGAGTTTTGCTCCATCATACGTTCTACTTTTGTAGGTTTGGTCAAATAAAAAACCTAGCACATGGAGTACATAGCACCTGCTTCGGTTTGTACACTCGGACAGTATTGCAGCCCTCACACAAATCAATGATAACGACTAATAGCCTCATTGTTAGTGTGGCGCATATGTATTCGGTGCCCCCTTGTACCAATGTTTGTGATCAAATAAAGAAATAAACGCAGCACAGCTACTTCACTTAATACTTGTTCACTGCCTTTTTATCGCACACTGAAGTATTCATTCCTTTTAAGTTGATTTCGCACAGATTAGCAACTCGGAGAGAACAATAATAATCGGACATTTATCTACAAATGACTAACCTCAACATTTTGACATTGTGCAACAGCAAAAATGTGCACCGATATCGTATTCACTCGATAAGCGAGACAATATATTACCCTAGCAATCAGTGACTTAGATTGCTACATATCAAACATGTCTTCAGCGTTCATGTCGTATTTTGACATTGAGTAACTACATTTTAGCTACTTGTAAGCAGTATTAAATCAGACAAATGACCCACGACCTGGAAATGGTTGAGACGTCGTGATAAACGTTCCCCAGAATCAAAAAACGCGACTCGAACAAAAACTAGAATTCTCATGCATATAATGCAGGACGTGTAATACTACAGAAACTAATGATTCATCACGAAAAGCCATTGAATACCTCTAGGGCAGTAATTTCAGGTTCTTTAGGAACACACAGAAGTTATCTACACCGGGAATTTACACAACACTTCTCATAGCTACACAGAGTCGGTCTAGAAAACCGCAAACAAACGCGCGTGCGAATTATCACATTGAGATAGAAGATTGTCCATAGCAGTACGTGCCAATGCGACTTTAGCTTGAGTGCAAATACTCGAACTCTTCTATGAACTTAATGGTGAATACACATGGAAGCTTTTCCTAGTCCTGTTAACAAACTCATACAGTGAATATCATGTAATATAGTTATGAAATGGGATGTGTTGTCAGATGAAATCGTCATTATACTAAATATCATCATCAATCTACTCAAGTTACTACTGTCACCTTATCTTTAGATTCGTCTCCAGAATATTCCGGAAGCCGAGGTGTGGGACAGATGATGAACTTGTGGGATGTACTTATCGTGCTGTTGAGTTACTACTGTTGGAACTAGTGATTTCGTGTTTCACTGTGGGCCCCATAAACTGTGATATTAATAAATCCAAGAGCTTATTTCCAATAAATAAGATTAGTTCAGTTCTCTTTTCTGCGAATTCATCTTCAAAGGTGTACAATAGCAAATATATACTTATTTTTACAGGATAATAATACAGTATTATTATCGGTGCACCTGATAGTGTACAAAAGTCATCTTTAGAAGTGACAGAAGCTTTGTTGCGAAGCAAAGCAACAATTCGGTGCAAAATTACGGAGAATTAGTAAAAATGATATTGATAGATTGCAAGGGAGACATTGTTACCTATTCCTCCTCCAGGATACTTACACCATTCCAGTTTACCAACTAGTAATGCAGCAAGCCGACTAATCCTCAATTAACTAGTACTTTAAGAACTAGAGTTGAGTAATGTGATATATATGGGAATAGTTATCGCGATAATAACCACGTGACTACTACGGACTTCCCTATGCCAGTATACCAACAAATCCCAGACGTTTCAAGCTGTAAGAATTATTGCACCGTGGTGTTTAGACGTTTTCTTAAGGAAAGTAGGACCATGTGTAATGTCCACATTATTTATCACAAGGCTATTTATTCCCTAAAAGAAGGAATACTCAGTTACAATATGAATAACATTGCCGCCTGAGAAAACGACCAGATATTTTGCATAAAAATCATCATACATGTTCATAAACCTCAAAAGGAAGAACAGATATTGAATCGGGGCTCAAGCCTAAATGCCCAACCTACCAATCATGTTTATCCTTCACTTTAGGCATTGGATCGCGTTTCACATAACAGCGTTGGTTACACTCTATGCAACCATCGCTTATAGCATTTGAGAGTTCATTTTGCAGCTTTCCTGCAGTGCATCTAGAATCACATTCTCTTTGAATAAAAGACAACAACTCGTGAAAAGAAGACTCGATGGAATCTCTTGAGCATGCTTCAATTGCATTCCACACAAACTGGAGATATACAGGATCAGTATACCTCCTAACTGACATTTCGAATTTAAACTGGATGAATCATAAGCCGTTTAAAAAAGTTTAATTTGGGAAAGTGATGTCATAGAGTAATTGGGCATAATAATCTCTACAGTCCTTCAGATCCCAAGAAGACGCATATCCAAGAGTCCGCTATAGATTCATAAGCATGAACTCAAACAAACCCTTCAATCGCCAATCTTTTTTCGACGGAAACCGTCAATAGGACTTCTCCGGAGATTCATGTTTATTGTATTGAGAGAAGTTATGGGAAAGGAAAAACGAAGACACTTGTTCTTATTCTTTATTTACTAAAAATTACTAAATATTATTCAACATGATTATTTGACATTTTTTAAAAAGTTAAGGTCAGTATCTCTCTCTAAACTACTGATATTTTCTTCACTTTTGCCGTTAAATGCGCCTGGGTTTCTAACAGGCGTCATCAGTAATCCACTGCTATTATATATGCGAGTCCGTTAAGCGAAAGCTTCTATTCTATCTAGAACTATTTGAAACTATTCGATAGAATGGATTTAAAGTATTTTACCAAGGTAACATTTGACCAGAGGTAGGTTTTATATTTCCTTCGAAAGTTCTGACCAATTGAAAAATCAAATTTTCGAGTGAATTTCATTTCACATAGACTTGTCACAAAGTGTATTTTTCTGAGAAACTATGTAACCAAGGCTTGTATTGTTCCTATGAAACACATACTGCTTGAGGTCTAGGAAAAAATAGCATATTTGTTCATATTCAAGCAGTAGAATTATATTGAGGGTGGCTATGAACACTGTAGACACCAAACAACCCAGAACTGTGTATGGAAACCATAGATGTACTACATGTATGTTGGGCCATTGAAATATCAGTGAGTCCTAGTCAAATCAGCAACTAAGCCGAACCACATATATATTTGGTGACAGATCAATGAATACTGGACAGTTCAGTCATGAATAGTGAGGACTAATAGGTGGGAAATCATGAACAAGCATATACACCAGTGTTTTCACATCCGATGCTGATCTCATTAGTTTTAATGGGAACATCTAGCTGTGGACCTCCGGTCACGCATTCGCAACAGATCAGGAGTAGGCACGCCGTTCTACTAATGCCCTACAGCCGTTGACCGGCTTAGATTTAGTGCTTCACGATATATCGGTATCTTTATGTTTTAACAGTAATATAATTTATTCTTACTAGTCACCAAGGGGAGAAATTTCCTTGTTTATCACGATGAGATAGGCCAGGTTGATCGTGGACCGTCAGGTGTACCTTCGGTGTAAGCTAGGAGGCCATACCCTTACAGCCCAACCCGAGTAGATCGGTCATTCATTTACATAAGTGATCCACGTTGCAATTGATTGGGTTGCAGATAAAACAAGATTTCATATATGCCACGTAAATCGCTTTGGTCATTTTTTATAAACTCGAGAGTGTACCTATCAAATTTTTAAACCTAATTTGGTAATCATACTACTTGATATCACTCCTCCTCGTCTGTTTGAACCTCTATACAAACCCGGCTACTAACCACCTAAATTGTGTTGCAGCACCAGGTTCTTAAATCATTCGAGGACAGACAAGTATGCCAATACCTTGACTGTGTTCTTTTCGAATCAGTGTCGATGAGGTGGATGCTTAGCAATAATTAACAACATATTAGAAGCCCCTGACCTGTAAATTATTGGAAAACAAGTTTCCTTGAAGACAGAGTGACAGCACTTGGTTACATTTTGGCTCTGCATGAGTTTCAGTCGGTAATGCTAGCATTTTCAAATAGGCTTGGTAATTTTTCGGTATAATATTCATTTTATTTCAGCCTCGCACTGAGTGAGTATGCCTTTGAAGATGGCATCTGGAGTTTTGACAACGCTTTAACCAGTAACACCTGATATGAATCGTACCTACCAAGTGAGATCAACAGACAGAAGTGAGGAGGTTCGAAGATTTATTTGATAGGTTATCAATATATCGACGATCGACTGGTCTAATCTGACTAACGATTGCAGGGGGTGTTGAGCACGGCGTTCCCACTCGCGATCTGGTGAGGAAGCATGACCGAGCGCCTTCAGCTAGGTGAGTCCGTTAAAACTAATGTGACCAGCATTCAATATCGAAGACTTACAGAGCCATTGATTTTGGGGATTTATTTACCGCTACATAACATTCTTGGTTTTCGATAATTTACTGGCATACAAAATAACTAATATTTAACATTAGCTTCTTGTTGTCTACTGGTTAACACATTTGGAACGAAAGAAATTCTCTTTAAATATAACCATATTGATAAGGATATTACTAGTTGTAAGGAACTGGGACTTAGTCTAAGTAACTATAGTTTCAGGACAGCAGAACGTTGTCTATTTAACTAATATGTGGTGACAATTTTCAGCTTATTCAACCAATGTAATATTCACTATCGAGTAGAGTTGGCATAATAATACTGGCTTTGAACCACACCAGCTGATGAATCTTGAACACAAGCAAAACTGGTATAACTGGTTCCATTATTGGTAATATCGAAGCATCCGTTCAAAGTCTGTCCAATTTAACTCCAATTACTTGCAGTTAAATAGCTTCAGTTATATGACAACTTTTGAAGATGCAAGTCACTGTTGTCATATATGTCATGACCGATAAAGCTTTAGTGATTAGGGTGATGAATCCGGAATCGGTGTCTTAAGATGAATATCAATTTTGGCAGGCAGGTACATTCATTCGACCAGTTCCAAATATGAATGAATTCGTGATGATAGATGTATAGCTGAAAACTCAATAAACGTTGAAATTAGTTAATGTTCAATGAGTATTGCTTAATTATTAAGTTTCATTCAAATCTCATTTTATTAAACCACTCACTCAATCCGTTTATTAAACACTACGGTTATAGCTAACCTCTTCATTATTAGTCATATTAATTAGTGTACGAACATCTTAATGGAGTTTTGTTCTCTGAGCTGGATGGTCTGGTTATGGAGGTTCCATCGATCTTCTGGACAACATCATCAGTATAAATTCCAATTAATACTTAAACTACCATTTAAGGATATATCTGACATTGATTTCCTCAGGGATTTGCTCTGATGTTGTCCAAAAAACCACATAAAACACTTACAGGATAGGAATCTAATGGTTCCAGAAGTATCAAAGTATTCTTCGAAACAAGGAAAGAGAGGATTACGATAGATATTATGCAGTGTAATGCACCCACCAATGATAGCAACGACGGCGATGAAGACCAGTTTTATGAGAGGCTGCAATCAACAACTTGTGTTACATTTAAATCAACTTCTCAGACTCGTTTTATCTTCACTATTCATATATGACTCATACAAACTGATATTTGGTTGTCCTTTTCACTTAATTGAGAATTTCATAGCATCATTCCAAACTATGACTGCACAAAAATTTAATCTAACGTCAAATCTTACTGCAATGAGAAGTTGTTTTTTGTTAATTATTTTCCATTTTGTTTTATTTTTTACTAGTTTGTCGATACATACATAGTCCTTTATTCTTATTCTGTTTTCGTGAACACGCCTATTAAACTATTTGCGTACTTCACGTCTCCTTTATTTCTATTCGCTTATTTTCTTCCTTTCTTTTTTTATACTCAATTCAATATTCATCTCAACTACACAGAACCTGATTTATTATTATTCTGTTATTATTACTCCTTTTTTAAAGATGTCAAATATAATGCTGATATTTTTGAAACTTGTATATTATTGCATTCTTGAAGAAACCTGAAATGGTTTCTTCACAACACTTACGTACCCATAAGACGTTTGTGAATAATAATAATAATTACATCAAAAACACACAAGAAAAGACCTCAATATACTGATGGGATATGTAAACGCAAAATTCGGAATGGACAACACTGGACATGAAAATATCATAGGACGACTTGGAATGACTGGGAGAAACGAAAGAGAATGGTGACCGATTTGCAAATCTATGTGCATTCAACAAGACGGTTATAAGCGGTGCAATATTCCCACACAAACCCATACACGAAGCTACATGGGTCTCATCGGATCACGCTACACAGAATCAGATGGATCACCAAAACAATCAGCAGGTCAATGGGAGACGTGAGAACCAGAAAGGGGACTGACATTGCTTCAGATCACCTGCAGAAACAGCATTAGGAAGATTCAATACAGCCTTCTTTCGACATGCTGACAAACTCAAGTAATTCAACATAACTCTCAACAACAGTTTCCAAGACTTACAAAATTTACTGGAAGAAGCGGAGACTACTAAGAAGGACATCTGGAAAGGGATCTAAGAAACACTGATTTCAACGTGTTAGGATGTTCTGGACCGTAAGAAGCATTATCACAAGGAGTGGATCGCCATGAAAACCCTGTTTTGGGTTTTTATAATTACGGTCTACTATGATATTAGCACTGCTCTAATAATAGACCTAATCCTAAAATTGTAGATTTATCATGATGTAACTGCTTAATCTATAAGATCTTGCGTGGAAGTTACATTATCGTCTACACCAATTCATTGCATTGTAACAATTACCAATACGTGATAGAGAACAAGCTTAGGCTAGAGATGGAACAATATATTTAATATGAATAAAAGACATTACGTAACATTTAGCAGAAGGGACCACGCCTGCATGGTCGAGCCATGCCGTAAGATTAACTCGTATTAATTCACTTCACTGTTCCCGCCTTTTTTCATTGTTCGGTATTTCCCAGCGTTTAATGTTGAATGTCTATATTCCAGTTTGTCTCGTGTTACGGCTCGATGCCACTACACTACTCTCCCACCAGAATCAACGTGACGTTGGTTCGATACCAATTTGAGTGGGATTGTCGCGCGCTGGAGGTTACCAAGAATAATACGAACCCTCCGGGTATTGATAAGCTGGAAGATAAATCGAAAAGAAGGCAGCAGCATCTGGTCGGGAAATACATGTAGTAATTTTAACATATCTGATTGCATGTTTAACACGATTAAAATGAAAATTTAGGTAAATATTCTTCGAGCTAAGC